TGGGTCAAGGTTCTGGGGACGGTGATGGGAAAATTCTGCTGCGCTGGAGTCGCAACTCCAAGAGTCAGAGAGTCCAACTCGGAAATATTAACTCCATGAGCTTGATTCTATTAACGAAAAGTTTAGAATATATAATTAACTTTATCTTATCTAATTTCAAGATAAAAATCAAATGTCAACTTCTTTATATTTTAACTAGATCTAGGGTCTAGACTAGACTCTAGATCTAGATCTAAATACTCTAATTTCTAAAGCCCGAAAGGCAAAGAAAGGCTAGCCTGCCATATTTCACATCACAGGAGTTATCCATCTAGGCTAGGCTAGCCTAAAAAGCCCACTGCACACTTCACTATTTCTATCAAATTTGCTTATGACTTGCTGACATCATTATTATTATCTTTCAGTTTCAGTCTTAGAAATCATATGAAATAGCATGAATAGTAGAACAATTGTCACGTTATGAGGAAAAACTCATTATTGTGTCCATTTGCTTTTATTGTAATGCAGAAATACACCCAAGAGAGGAAAAGGATGTTACACACCACTCCTATAGTGTTGTGCCTACTGTCTTTCCTGGACATCCTCCCTAGACAGACCCATGGCTCAAGACTCCCAGCAAAACCATGTACAACATCCAAAGTGTCCCCGTGCCTCCAAAGAAACCCTATGACATTACAAAAGAATATGACTATTCTTTTCTGTCTGAGTTGATCAGAAACTGAAGATAACCGACAGCAACTGCAGAATGTCAAGTAACAGCTTAAAGTGGTGAAACAGAAGGTAAACAGGAGAGATGGAAAAACCAGGACTCTCTTGCAGGAAGTCCACAAAAGCAAGCTCATTAGCCAGGATCAGCTTGACCTATGTACTTCAACACAACTTTGGAGAGAATGCATTTACAGAAAACCCCAATTTTGTCTTATTTCATCAATATTTGTTTTCAAACATATTTGTTTATGAAAACCTACGATTTAAGTGAAATTTTGCCATCAAATTTTTGGGGCTCCAAACACTTTAGAGGGGCTTTAATACACATGTTCCAGCGTTTTACAAGTTTCAAGTAGTTGTACTTGTAGGACATGACGTCTAAATTCACATCACAGGGATTGTGTCTGGTGTGTCTGGTGTGGATTGGCTACGATGTAAATAGGCTTTCTTGATCTGGAGAATGATTCTATAGTGACATCTTGTGTTTTACAATTACAACTGTTCTGTAGTCTATACACTGTTGCAGAGGAGACCAGGACTTAAAGCCCTCCTTGAAGTCAGGAAAACCTGTTTTTTCTCTTTTTATAGTGAGCAAAATTCCTCAGTCTATGCAAAAAAGAAAACATAGAACTTAATTTGTACAAACTACAGAGACAGATCAGTCTTTTATATTTTGCCTCTTGTCTGCATAGCTTATTCACTGGATGATTGACTGTAAAGCCGTTTAAAACTGGAGAGAGCTTTTAATAATCTTCAAGAAAAAAGAACAATCTGAGACTTTTGTTCTGTGTAATGAAATAAAATTCTTGGGACACAATGTGACAGTTGCACAACTTAACCTCTGTTCGTTAACTTTACACGAAGGCAAACTAAAGTGGAACTTAGAAGAGTTGATTACATTAGGGGTAAAAAATATGTACTTGAATTTTGAGTTGTTGTGAGGTACGCTGTATTTGAATATTTACTCTATAAGCTTCATAATTGTACGTGCTGTATCTGATTCAGTTGCTCTAATTTTTGCAAATTATTTGCACTCTAAATGTGCTTTGATTCTGCAGGTTTAGATAACCTGAGATAAACATGTAGACCTTTTTTATAACATTGTCTGGATTGCTCTCAACCAAGTGATTTGCATCATTAACGATGAAAAGCAAGAACCTGAGATAAACATGTAGACCTTTTTTATAACATTGTCTGGATTGCTCTCAACCAAGTGATTTGCATCATTAACGATGAAAAGCAAGAAATTCACATCAAGTGAGCCACGTTTTCGATATGGTAAATGAGGAGAATTCACAGATGTGTGGCAATTGAAAAGCTTTGTGTAATGCACAGTTGCACACCTTATACACACCCATAGACCTTTTTTGTACATAGGTTTGAATTTTGGCCCAAAATGGAAACTATGCTTTTGAAGAGATTTGATAACAGAACAATCATGGAATGATGTCACTAGATGTAAACCCATAAGATTGTGCACTCTTTTGCTATCTAGTATCTACTGTGTAAATTTGAGGGTAATAATCAGTTTCAAAACTATTATTATTCCCTGATGAATAATGATGTCAAAAGACCTTGTTACTATGAGGTTTCACTGAATGGTGTATTGCAGTATCCTGAGATGTAAGTGTCTTCAATTATAGTTCTTCATAGCAATACAGGTAACTTGGAATATATATGCTCAATTACTATTTCTGGTTTGCATTTATTTATTTTATTATTCGATGAAATGTCTTTGTAATTAGTAAATTTGGAGCTAAAATCTGAGATGTTGTTTTTGCAATGTCTGTCCTTTCAATTGTGATGTATAAATGTCCAATAAAATGTTAAAACTTAGATGCCTATGCTGTAGAATATTCAACACATGTGTGGTAATAAAAGGTTCATTTAAATTCATTTTTTTTCTTCAAATCAAATTATCATAAGTATATTCGCTAAAAACTGGTTGATGAAGAAAATAAGAAATATACTGTATCAAGGAGAATATTATTTATGGAGAAAAAAAGTGGTGTGAATAAATAATTATTACATCAATGATCAGCTGTTTTTAAAGAATATTTATTTCTAGTGAACTGTAAAGAATTGAATTATTCTTTCAGACATATAGAGATTTTCTAGAGAATAGGTGAAAGACAGAAGGTGTATATTTGATATAAAATGAGTGAGAGAAGAAAAAGAATGTTTGGATGAATGATTGAATGAATGATTGGATGAGTAAATAACAATTTTTTAAAATAAATGTGTATAATTCTTTCCTTCCCCCTCTTCCTATCTTCAGTATCGTCCTATATCTGCATTTCCGTTATCTACCTATCCTTCTATATTTATATCTATCTATCCATCTTATTATGTGTCTAGCTATCTATGTACCCATCTCTATCCCAAATCTATAAGTATCAATCTGTTTATAATAGCCATCAACATAAAATGAATATATTACCTTTAAAGCGTTTTAAATCAATAAACCCTGGCTCTCATAATAACTGAATTAGAAAGACATTGACCCCCGGCATTGGCCCTGTAGCATAAAACTTTGTTTAATATCATGACATCAATATCAAATACAAGTCCCAAATGCTTGATTCTGATTGTTTAAAAGCCAAGTAATATTTTATGTCATTATATCACACTTTTGTATTGACAAAGAGGAAGAAAAATTGAAGATATACTGAAATATAAATAGCTTTTTGTGTCCCTTTTACCTCACCATTACACCCGTAATTAATCTTGACCTACACCAGATACCATGACTGAGGCATGAGTAGGGTTCATGCATTATGCAAAATACCACAATTATAACGTTTCATACTCGAAAACTGAAAATCAACCCCAAGCTTCATATTGCATATCAGTAGCACAGTTTCGAAGGAACATCCAGGTATTTCTCGAAGTTTTGCCCTCCTTAGTAATGGCGGACTGCGCTCCATGCACGCACAGAGCTTTGAACGAGCGCGTATGACGAGTCTGCTCTCTAGCCTTATTAAGCATATATCTCTATGTGCAATATACATAGATGACCCAAGTTTGGCGGGAATCCATCAATGGGTTCTTGAGATAACGCTATTTTGCATACATAATGAGCCCTGTGACCTTTGACCTTCTTAGCAACTGTTTACCCTTGGGGAAAAACTAAGAAAAGTGGCTTTGTGGCTTGGGGATTAAAGAGTGAGGGAGGGAGGAGGGGAGGGACCTCGAGGAAGAACAGATCGAGGGTTCAGTGACACACAGACGTAACTCCATATTTTGCCAAAATGAGTATTGATATCAAAATGTTCAGAAAAATGTGGGCTTTCCAGGAAACACAAAGACTTAACTCCACCCAACACCCCATTAAAGTCAATGGCTAGTGAAACATCTAGACTCAACTGCTTAAGGCCCAAGTGCTCAGTGACACATAAACCACTTTTTCTCAAAATGGCCAAAATGGAGTTACATCTTTGTGTCACTGACCCCTCTATATGTTCTATAGAAGATAATGCTATAGACGTCTGGGTACACAATAAATTTGGACTTTGCTTTGTGCATTTAACTTCCAACTTGTACTGTGCTGCTACGTGTAGGTGCATGGGATGTAATTTACTCATTATCAGCACATTTTAGTCTAGGCATTCAAATAGTGAATCTTAAAGGGTAACACAAAACAAATTGCAAAAGTATTTAATCAACTGCAGTGATGTTTAGAACATTCCTCTAAACAACATACTAAAAGCTTAAAGAAATAGAAGTAGTGGAAAACAGTTAAATTGGCATCTATGTTACCGTTTATTAGCAGCCAAGAGAGATACAATATACATGTAGGTTAAAGGGAACGTTTAACAATGTTAAATCTGAGATACACGGTCCTACATGTTACCAGTGTCTGTGAAATGGTGTAATATTGAAGCCCTAAAAAATCGCACTTCAAAATGATCAAGAAATGCCTCAAAAAAGTAAAAATCTTTGAGTGACCAGTTTTACCATACTCGTTTTCCCCAATAGACTGTAGTGTTTATAGAAACCTTTAGGAAAACAGAAAAATTAATTTTGATTTCCTATCATATATATCTTGATAAAAAGACAGGCAATCGGTTTGTAAAATTCATGGGGTTCCTGACTGACCTAAAGGTTTATAATTATCATTGCAGCCTGAGCTAAATCAAGGATTATTTCTAAAGGATCTAAGACAAAGTTACCGGATGCCTTTAACAGACTAGCAGTCATCTCTATAGGAGCCAAGAGATATGACTGCTAAACATTGATACAGACAGACAGAGTTATACTGATACCTTACCCTGTTCTGAGGAGCTTTGAAATGTAAACAGAAATACAGATATAAAGACAAAAAGAGTTTCAAATTATGCAGCTTTTTGGATTTAAGAGAAATAGCTGACATGACAGAAAAACAGGAACAGCCCAACAGATAGAGAGTGATCAAGCTTACCCTGCTTGTGAGGAGCTTCAGAGAATCCGTAGCCTGGAATACTTGGACAGATGACCTCGAAGACATCATCAGATGACCCTCCATGGCTCGTAGGGTCAGTCAGCATAGGTAGGATCTGGGGGAGAAAAAGATTAAACCTTTGGTTTTAATCCAGTTGGAAGTTCCAAGCCTTAAGTTTGATAAAACAATCATATTGTACTGGTTTCAATAGGCCTATACACATTATGCGTACCCCAAAACAGTCATCCATGTAATATTGTTTGATGTCTTTTTTCTTTTCTTGGCAAGTCCACATGTACATGTATTTGGTGTCTCATATACACACATGATTTACAGTACTAGATGGAAAAAAATGACATCATTGTAAACTATCAAATAACATGATGTGGTTGATTATGTACCTGTAAAGGACAAATAGACCCATTTACTAATTTTATACATCTTGGACAAAATGTTCTCTTGCTAGAGACTTTCCCAACATACACTGTAGGAACAATTAGTGAATACAAAGTGAATTCCTCCCATACAGATGCCATTATGCAAAGGAGGTGAATCAAATGGTTGGTAACCCGGGGGCCGTTTCATGAAACCAACTCCATGACAGTCATATCTTTGTCGGCGACCTACAGAGATGTCATGAAGTGGATAAACCGTTTCACAAAGCCATGACAGACATGATATCGATATATCGCGATACTACCAGCTAAAGAACATAGTCTTTGTCACGATCCATTTGATTTATCACAAATAACCCATAACAAGTTTTGGGGCTAAAATTGTTCAAAAAGAAACATATACATTGTACATATAAACTCTCCTAATAGTGTCATTATCAAATGTAGATCATCAAACGATTTGCATATTTCTGTAAAGATTCTTTAATTGAAGAAAAACCACTGAGTGTTTTTTTCTTGACAATCCATTTAAAAGGTAGTTGAAGGATACCGTAATGTAATAGTTTATCAATATGTACTTTTTTTGTTTATTGTGACAAGGAATTTTAGGCAAAATACCTTTTCTCAGCCATTTTTATTCTATAGTCTCATAAATACCCGTTATACAATTGATTTGATATTGAAAATATAATTTGGAAGAAGTAATTAAAGAGGGGGGGGGGGACATGCATGAAATGAAAAAATATATTATTTAACACGTCTATTAGCATGGATAATAGTTACTGGTAGATCAATTTATATAGCACAGCTACTAGAAAACTTCTAACCATAGAAAAGTTTTTGAAAAATATTCAAAAACTATTCAAAAGCTCTTGAAAACAAGTGTGTCTTCAACAAAACTTTGAAGACAGCATATGAGGCTTTTCTTATGTCTGTCTCTCTCTCTCTCTCTCTCCCTCCCTCTCCCTATCTCTCTCTCTCCCTCTCCCCCTCCCCCTCTCCCTCTCCCTATCTCTCTCCCTCCCTCTCCCCTCTCCCTCTCCCCCTCTCTCTCTCTCTCTCTCTCACTCTCCCCCTCTCTCTCTCTCTCAATATTCTTGACCCACCTTGTGGAATTCATAGATTGAACCAGGCCAGCCATGAACGACGATGAGAGGCTTAGCCTTCTGTCCAGGCTGTAGTTTGGGTTTCACGTGAAGGAAATGGACATCAATACCCTCAATGTTGGTCAGGAATTGATCAAACTGGTTTAGCCTCTTCTCAGCATCTCTCCAACTGAAAAAAAAGATGCACAGAATTCAAGAAAACCATGTTACAATGATGTCCAATAATGGTGCTTTATACATGTATCAGGCTTAGTATCAGTACCCTTTTTAATAGCAGACTGGTCCTCATGCATTATCTTAAAAGAAACTGTCTAAGAGGCTGTTCACACCGCAATGAGATAGCGTGGTCTATCGTAGCACCCCCTTTTTTTCTAGCGTGCGCTAGACCGCGCTATCTCTCGAGGAACACCCCCAAGAGGTGCTCCAGTGGCACGCCGTTTTGGCTCGCCGTGGCTTGCTGTTGGGCGGACCGAAACGACCTTGTACCTTCCAAACCGCAGAGATAGCGCGGTCTAGCGCGCGCTATCTCTGCCGGTGTGAACAGCCTCTTTGAGGCCATACCATTTCATACAGGCGCGCCGGAAGCAGTTTGGGATTGGGGGGGGGGGGCAAATATTCCCGGGGGCCCACCTTCCAGGGGCAGTGATGTAACGAGCAAAAACCACCACTCTTACACGTTACATGCAGGCCCCGCGGAACGTTTTTCAAAGTAAATTGGCGTGGGGTCCAGGGCCTTAGCCCCGGCAGGGGGTCAAGGGGTTGAGCCCCCAGAAGCTCAGGGGTTTTAGGTATTTAATAACGATCAGATGAGCATCAAGGGCCCCGCCTTAGGCCCTTGTTGGGGTCCAGGGGATAGAGCCCCCGGAAGCTCAGAGGTTTTAGGTATTTAATAACTGTCGGATGAGCATACAAGCCTTAAGGCACTTGGTGGGGGCCGGGGCGGGACCCTCGTAAGCTCTGGCGTTTAGTCAGATAGGCATCCAGGACCCTGCCTTAGGGCCCTTGGTGGGGTCCAGGGGGCAGAGCTCGCGGGAGCTTGTTTTTTTTTAGGTATTTAATTACGGTCAGATGAGCAAATAGGGGACCGCCTGAGGGCCCTTGATAGGGTCCGGGGCGGAGCCCCCATAAGCTCTGGGGTTTTAGGCATTTAATTACGGTCAGATGAGCATATTTTACCTCATTTTCGACATTGGCAGGTCACTTATATTTTCTCTCTCTCTATCTTTCTTTTTCTCTGTAACAAACTTCTTCAAAAGTGAGGGGGGCTCGAGCCCCCGAGCATGGCAGTTCCGCAGACCCTGACATAAAGGCTTCTAAATAAGCATGGTTGGGGGGGGGGGTAAATGCCCCCCCCCCCTCCTGCCTCCCCACTTCTGGCGCCTATGATTTCATAGTGTAATGCAATTTAATGCGTACATCTTTGGAAAGTGCTTCATTACAATTCATTTCATTCACCTATTCAACTAATTATATTTTAATAGGCAGAATGCAAATTGCAAACATGATAGGGCTTGCAAGCCATAATGTTTGTCCTATCTAGCATCAACCAACATACCAACATGCTCAACATACCCCCCCCCCCCCCCCCCCTCCCCAATGGATTGTATATCTAGCTCTAAATCGATCTACCGTAAGACTATGGGTTCAAATCCCACCGCTGCCACCAATTGTAACATGTTTATTTAACTGAGGGAATTATAGCTGACCAAAATCAATCATCAAACATGCTGCATCAAAATCAATCTAATCTCTCTCTAAACTCAAGAAACTCAGGATAGTAGATAAGACAATTAACCTCACTTGAAGAAGGATGGAACAGACCTCCCTGTAATATCCCAAATTATAACATGTCAGTAAAAACAAATCAGGCATCATTACAAAGTAAACCAATCAGGGGAAAGTCATGTGATAAGAGAAACCAACGAGGTGAACAGGCTAGATAGATCAAAGGTGAGAGGCGAAGAGAAGGAATGAGAGAAGAGAAAGTGCATGTTGCTAGGGCAGGAAAAGGCAACCATGCATAGAGAATGAGAAGACAACAAAGGGAATGGGTTTGAAGGAGAGAGATGAAAATAGGATGTGGCAGTAGGGCAACTGAAAGACTGCTGTAAGAAGGTGATGAAATGGGAACATGAGCTTGGAAAATGAATATGCAAATGAGAATGCAAATATATAAATGAATATGTAATAGTGGGTAAGGAAGAAGGTAAGAAATACTCTATATCAAGACAAATTCAAACTGTTACAATATTATATACAAACAAAAATGAACTGAATGTAATTGCAAAACCCCTCTAATTCCCCCCTTCCCCCTTTAGCCATTCTTAATCAGGGCTGTCAACCCTCCTACATTTAGAGGGAGTCTCACGCCACCACGCTCATTCTCCCGCCGCCTCAAAAGCTTGTAGCGGGAGACTCCCACCACCACATACGCCTTCCTCCCGCTCTCCTGCCAACGATGAAGAATCTCCCGGTTTATGAAAAACCTTCCCCCCCCCCCCCAAAGAAAATATGTGCTCTTACCCCCCCCCCCCCTTATCTCCCTCCAAGCAGTTTCCCAAAGTTGACAGCCCTGTCTTAATGAGGCCTTGAGGGGGCATGGAGATCAACATCCGACACCCCACCCCCCCCCCCCCCCCCCCCCAACAAAAGATTTATAAAAATATAAATTAAAAAAATTATAATCACCTGTATCTCTCAAGCCAATATCTCTGGACCTGTTTCATGTAGTCCGAATCGAAGCCATAATGGAACCCAGCGTCTTCCACTCTGTCGACAAACCGTGTATTCTGTAGACGAGTCTTCAAATCGCTCAACACATCATCCGAAACATTCACCCGGAATTTGCGAACGGACGTGTCCTGTTTGCTCCCCGAGACTTCAGGGAGGCCTCGACCCCACCATCCGACTCCGTCTTCGATGTCTGATGGAGGTTCGGTTATCAATTCAGGATTCAAGATCGTACGCATGAAATAGCCGAAACCCAAAGCCACAAAGAGGATGAACAAAGGCAACTTGTACTTCCAACCCATTTTAAAGAAAAAACCTCACTTTCAGACGATGAATTGAGAAGAGTATTGAGTATTTGACGCGACGGTATGTCTACAATTCGAGCTTCAAGTTCTACCCACGATCTCTCACCACGGACCTAGATGTATTGTGCATGTGCAAGTCCCTGGATTATTATATCTACACCCTTTTTCAGAGAAATCGTGGCATTTGATTGGCTGAAAGAAAACTTGCCATATTTTAAGCATTTCGGTGCCCCTACAACTATAATGGCGGTATCATGAGGCAGCTCCACTCCAGTTGAATTGTGCAGGGGGGGGGGGGCAGGTCGAAATTCCAGTTGATACCAGTTGAAACCAGTAAGGATTTCCAACTGGTATCTACTGGTTTGAACTGGTTTGAACTGGTCTCAACTGTTGATACAATTTGGAAACCAGTAGAAATACCAGTTGGCATCTGAGACCAGTTGTTATACCAGTTGCTTACCAGTTGAAAACCCGCAGTAGATGATTACCAGTTGAAAACCAGTAGATGATTACCAGTTGATTTACCAGTTGAAAACCAGTGATTACCAGTTGATTTACCATTTGAAAACCAGTAGATGATCACCAGTTGATTTACCAGTTGAAAACCAGTAGATAATTACCAGTTGATTTACCAGTTGAAAACCAGTAGATAATTACCAGTTGATTTACCAGTTGAAAACCAGTAGATGATTACCAGTTGATTTACTAGTTGAAAACCAGTACATGATTCCCAGTTGATTTACCAGTTGAAAAGCAGGATATGATTACCAGTTGATTTACCAGTTGAAAAGCAGTAGATGATCACCAGTTGATTTACCAGTTGAAAACCAGTAGATAATTACCAGTTGATTTACCAGTTGAAAACCAGTAGATGATTACCAGTTGATTTACTAGTTGAAAACCAGTACGATTACCATAATATAAGATAGGGAAACTCGTGATAAGAGATAGGAGACAGAAGTGGAGGGAAGAGGAGGAGGGGGAGGGAGAGAGAGAGACGAGAGAGAGAGAGAGAGAGAGAGAGAGAGAGAGAGGGGGGGGGGACTCACATGGAAATTATCCCAGGACGTCCACTTCTCGTTCATCTAAAGACCTTTTCCTATACCCTACCTGCCGTCGCGCCCCCACCCCCATCAGTAGATAGACCACGCTATATCATTGCCCCCTACACCAACAATGCCCCCCCCCCCCTCCATTCCCCCTGTTTATGTCAATAAAGAAGGTAGGTAAATGAAAACTTAAATTTTGTTTGTTTTGAATGCTCTTTGGGAGTCAATGATTGAGGGAAAGATGGCACGGGAGATGGGGGAACGGGAGACGGAGAAGATATAGACCCCCCCCCCCCCCCCACATATCGCCCCTGAATCAATCGATGACCTGGGGGGTGTTTCACAAAGTTTCTAGGCCTAAGTTGAACTTATCCCTAAGTTTGACTTAACAAATATTTTGTAAAAGTTATTTTAAAAGGCATTAAATATGTTTATTCTATTTCATATCATTCATGTTTTTATTTTCAGGGAGATTTCATGTTCTTGATGTCGAATTATGTAAAGTCTAAAATACTTAAATTTTTGCTTTTGAATATATTTTATTTTAAGGCTACAAATGGCTCTCCATAATGTTTAAATTCAAATTAGAGCTAAGTTCTACTTAGAATCTTTGTGAATCAGTGGCGGATCCAGAGGGGGGGGGGGCCTGCCCCCCCCCCCCACCTCCCCTCCTTGAGAAAAAAAAAATCATGAAAAACACGTGATTTTTACCTTTTTTGGGGGGGTGCAAATTTTTAAATTTTCGAGGACAAAAAAAAAAAAATGCGCTCACTACCTCACCCCCGACCCCGCCCCCCCCCCCCCCCACCCCCCCCCCCCCCTCCACTGAGCGAATTTTCGGACGGCGCGATTTTCACATTTTCGGGAGCAACACAAAAACAAAAAAAATTAGTGCTCACTAATTCGTCCCAATACATTGTGTTGTTGCCTACACGCTTCTTATTCGATATTAATACATTTTTTTGTTGAAAGTTTCTGCAATCATTGTGAACCATTCCTTTATCAGTGTGATTGTTCTTCACCATCAAATGCACTTTTCGAGTACTTTTATCAAATTTGCGGTGGTGGATCAAACGGGAGGGGGCATGTGCAAAATGAAAGCAGGTAAAAAAGAAGGAATGAAGAAGGAAAAAAAAGGAAGGGGGAAAGGGAAATGAAAAAGCATCTTTAGGCTGATCATTTTTTTTCCTCGGCAGAAAGTTATTTTAAAAACGAGATGGCAGACCCTTTTTTCTTTGTTTGCATGTCAGAAGTTGTCTGGGAGTGTACTCTCATTTTTTTTTACTACACCCCCCCCCCCCCCCCCCGTTTAGCCCCAAAAATAATAATAATAAAACGCTTTTTATTTTTAGTGGTCACTTATCCCCCCCGGTGAGCAAAACAAAACAATTTTTGTTTACCCCCCCCCCGTTTAACCCCCTCCTCCCCCCCCCCCCAAAAAAAAATATATATATATATATATTTTAGTTTATTTAGTGCTCAAAACCGCCACCCCCACCCCCCTCCCAATATAGGGATGCGGAAAAGAGATTGGTACAACAAGAAGTTAGTTAAGAATATATTTACAGCAATGGAAAGTATTAAACTAACGTACATCCAGGGTCACGAAACACAACGCATCTACAACAGACCAGGAATGACTTAATGTTTATGTAATATACATAATATATATATAAATTATATATACACATAATGCACTGTTGGTCGTAAAGGTGGAATAATTAATTTTACCCCCAATTTATGGACTGATTTTGACAATGATTTATTCTTAATAGATCTAGATAAAATGTTACATTCTCAGATTTTATTGAATAATAATTTGAGTGTTTGTTTTGCGTGACTGCTAAAGCATGTGTATACTACTATGCTTATCAACTAGGGACCTACGTCCTTCAGTCATAACTGACAGTGTTGAGGATTAACGCCTCACAAAAGGGCACTAATATAGCACATCGACACGGTTTTGATCCTGGGGGCTCACAGTAACGAGGTCATTGCTTAGTCACTGAATCATGACTGTACGCAGCGGGGGCTAGGGTACGTCGCCGCCCCCACATATACAAAAAAAAAATTAAGAAAAGGCAATAAATTATCAATTCATTGCATTTTCCCCCGGTCCCCAACAGGAAAAATTCCTCTGTAGGGCCATGTATTATGGTTCAAGGCATGCCCACAAAGAGGATTTTTTTTTTTATGTTGGGGGCCGGGGCAATATGCGATGAATTATTAATAATTGCATTTCTTAGTTTTTTTTAATTTGTGGGGGCCTTGCCCCCCCCCCCCCCAATCAAAAAAATAATAGAGAAGGAAGGAAAGGGAAGGAAAACAGAGGAAGAAGAAAAGAAAAGAAGGGCCGGATATCAGTTGCAATTTTCCCGCCAACAAGTTTTGGATTGGGGGAGGCGAATGGCCCTTGCCCCCCCCCCCCCTCCCCGCCGCCCCCGCTAAAAAAAGAGAGAAAAGGGAAAGAGGAGAGCCAAAAGGGAACAAAAAAGGGGAAGAAGACAATAAAAGGGTGAAAAGAAGGGAAGATAAGTTGCGGTTAATCCCGCCAACAACGTGTGGAGCGGGGTGGGGCCGAAAGGTCCTTGCCGCCCTGCCCCCCCCCCCTCCCCAGCAAACCTAATAATAATGTTAAAATGACATAATTTTCCGAGAGTAAATCATACTTTTGTATGCGTTTGTTGAAAAATGACAAATTCCTAAATTTACAGCCAGGCAAGAAACATGCTTCTTGGGATGCCTCCATAAACATGTCAGTGCCCGCGAAACGGCGGGGATCGGGAGCCTCGAGCTCTTGAAATTCAGTCAAGGATTAAGAGTCGAGAATGGTACACCGAATCGTCTTCTTTCTCTAATAATTAATGAAACGTAAAAGCTTCCTCGCTTCGCGCAGGAAGGGGGGGGGGACGACTAAATTAAGACAATGATTAAGAATCGAGAACGGTACAGCGAATCGTCTTCTTAATCTAATGATTTAATGAAACGTAAAAGCTTCCGCGCTTTGCGCGGGAGGGGGGGAACCTGAATTCAGACAATGATTAAGAGTCGAGAATGGTACAACGAATCGTCTTCTAATTTCTCTAATAATTTAATGAAACGTCAAAGCTTCCGCGCTTCGCGGAGGAGGGAGTGGGAGGCTCGCCCCTCCCTGCACCACCCCCTATTACGTCACTGCTGGTCACCATTACGTACCAATATTTGGATCGCGTAATTTCAAATTAGCCCCCCCCCCCCCCCCCCCCCCCATGAAATCCGCGCCTGACAGTCACACTGTATTGAGTGACTGATTGACTTCATTTTTTCTTTGGTAATTACATACATAAAATGAGCAGTAAAGGGTATATAATACATGAGCATGATATTATTTATTTTTGGTGCTTGATAAATCTTTATAGATATTTATCACAACTATGAAATTTTAGATGGTTACCATTTCGTGTTTTTTTTTTTCTTCTTTTTTTTTCTTTCTTCTTTTTTTCTTTATTTTTCATTTTTTTTTAAAGTCAGTTTTGAGTTCTGAGTTTTTGATCAATTGGGTGGGTGGTACATGCACAACATTGCTTATTATAGGCTCTGTATAAGCTTGGCTTGTTAGAACTCTTGTGAGTAACGTGCCGCGGGATTCCATATCCCGTCAAACTGCTGGCGAACAGAGCAACAAGACCAAGCTCTGTAATTATTAGGATCTCTGTCCAGTAGTGCCGTGTTTGTGCCATCGAACTGGATCGACCAAATCAATTGATTCATAATATATGTATATGCAATATTTTTTCCCGTAACATGAGAGTAGTTTTAATAGTTTCATACTATTAATTAAATGTAATGTTAACTGTTATTGTATAATTGTTTTAAATGGGGGCACCAGGGGCGTAAATCCGTACCGAGGAGTGCATGGGGGATGATCGGCGATAGCCATCACATACTAGCAGGAGCATACGCCCACACTAATTTACGCAAGCGCGCGCGATCGCGCACGCACAAACACACAACACACTTTCTTTTTTTTAATTTTTTTTTTAGATTTTTTTTTAAACAATTTTGTTTTATTTCTCCAGATGTGTAATACAAACCACGACATACAAT